TGAGCTGTCACTACATCTTGGTTGGCAGTGGAAGTTGAGTTATGAGATAAGGCATGAGGTTGGTTTTCATCTTCTCCTTCTGCATGATCAGTAGGAGGGAATATAGTTGGGACCTGAGGTGGAAGCTGAGGTGTGAGTAGAGGTGGAAGATTGTTGGGGGGTTGACCTTGCCCAAGAGGCAAAGATGAATTACCAGCTCGGACTGATCGAGTGTGAACCATGATAAAAGAGCAACTAGGAAGCTTTCAGTTCGATTCCCACAGACGGTGCCAATGTAATTGCACCAAACCAGAAGTCCTTCCTCAATTTGCGCTTGCACTCCGGGATGACCTGCAAAGCCCCGAGGTGGAACTCGGGGTAGACACTCCGATACTTAAGTCAGCAATAATCGAAGCTACCTTTAGGGCGGAGATAAAAAGAGCTTAGGGTTGGTTTCAATTACCTTTTGACATGGCCTGGAAGGGGTATTTATAGGATCCAATGGGGAATCCATGTGGCATGCCAAGCAAGATAATTGGAGCCTGATGTGTCCATCCAGACGATTATTCCGAGACCGGGAATTTGAGAGGTATTCAGATGCACAGGTGTCCACCATGCCTGTTGTGCCACTCATCATAAGGAATCAGGTGCAGGCATGCTTATCGTCATTATCATGCAGCTATTTGAGCGGGAAGCTTAGGATTCATTCCTCACTTCGGTCATAAAGGGATTACTGTAGCAGTCCGAGTCTTGACACCTCGGACCTGTCCTTACAACTCCCTTCCAATTTCTGGTAGAGCCCTGAGCCTCCCCCCTACAATCCCGTCAGCCCCAATGCTCGCCTGGTGCGGGTTCTGCTGGCTGAAAAAAAAGAAGGGAATTCTAGTATGTGCTAGCTTCTCCAAGGCTAAATTTTACCCATTTAGTAGTTGAAATTTATACATGGAGCTACTGCCTTCTTGTCCGAATTTTCTGTCAAAACAGGGGAAGAATTGGCAGTAAATTAAATGTGTTTTAAGCTTGATTATGTAGAATTTAGCTTGATTTGGCTGCTATGATTTTTGGAGAGAAAATCCCATGTGTGTGAGTTGTGGTTGCCAAAGCCATTCTCTCCTACCCGTGAGAAATGGGGAAATTTTGGTAGCTTGACCTATGTTTGTTTTAGCTTGGTTTAAGTGTAAATTAGCTTGAATTGGATTGTTGTGATTTTGGAGAAAATCCCGTGAGATTAGCTATGGTTTTGCAAATTTGGAAGTTGAAGTTACTGTTCATGGTACTATTCGCGGGTACTGTTCATGGGCACTGTTCACACACTAAGGGTCAACACTTAACGGGGATTTAAATGTTTAATTTGTAATATAAGAATAAATTTAGAGATATCCGATCATGTGGAGATTGATAGAAATAGCACCGTGATTAGGGGTAGTGCTAATGATGATTTCACTTTGAAATTGTGGTAGTGAGGTATTAATTCTTGGATATTTTGATTAGGTTTCTGATCGTTCTGTCAGTTTAGCACTGAGATCGAGTCTTCGGTTTTATGCGAGTGAGGTAAGTAAATCATGATAAAGCCCTTCAATTTCAAAGCATGTTTTAAATTGTTTTTGAGATGGTGGCAAGGTTAAATTGATTTTAAATTGATTTTATCAGCATTTGAATGTGATTAAACTGAAATGAAAATTTGGATGACTTTTAATGAGAATTTCCTTGTTTTTTCTAGAATTAAGCATGATTGGAATGAAAATGAGAATTTCATTGTTTTTCTAGAGTTGAGCATGTCCACATGAAATTGTTTTTCATTTGCATTGAGTAGAGCATGCCTATTTGGAATTGACTGAACTGCTTTGATGAACTAAGAGTTTTGTAAATTCTAAGCTTTTCTGTTAAATTCATGCTCACATGAAAATTTTTCGATTTATTTTTGAAATTGGAGATTGATTGTGAATTTCAGATTTTTTTGTAAATCCTGCATGGTTGTCTCAGATATAGTCATGATTACTGACGCCCGTTAGTGGGAGTTGCAAACGCTAGCACATGTCGACATGTATTTCTGTAGAACCAGTTCATCTTGCCAATGGGATAATACATTGGTAATTACTAACGCTTGCCAGTGAGAGTTTGTTAAACACTAGTACTACTGACGCCTGCCAATGGGCAAATACATTGGTAATTACTGACGCCTACCAGTGGGAGTTGTTAAACACTGGTACCATTATTGACGCCTGCCAGTGGGAGTTTGTTAAACACTGGTACTTCTGTAACCCTGCCAATGGGGTTAAACATTGGTTACTACTATGCCCGCCGGTAGAAGGTTTATAAACGTTGGCCATGACTTATAGATGAGACTACTACTGAATTTGATTCTGATTCTGTATTAACGGTTTTGTCATTAAACGTTTTGCTATTGAACTGAATTTGATTATGTTTTAACGAGTTATCATTGAACGTTTTGATATGTTAAACTGCTTATCAGGCATGCTAAAAGTTTTACCCAAAGGCTATCCATATTTACTTACTGAGTTATCTCATAGTTTTTCTTGTCCACAATTTCAGGACGTGAAACCGAGGACGGGGAAATCACGGGAAGTGATGAGTTAGAAGGCTAGCCATTTCGAGACTGATAGAGATTTTAGAAATAAATCATGATCTTGTAAACCAGAGTGTATTTGGAGAGATTTATGATATCAGAGTAAATTTTAAAAACTTGATCCTTGAATTTTGATGGTATTAGATTGTGATATGACAAGTTCCGAGCCTTGTGCATTTATGGGCCCTCTCACGAGTGCACGGCGTCTGTCACACCTCGAAATTGGGTTTTGGGACGTGACAAATATGAAACCCAACATAAATAATAATTTGATTCATAATTGTGTAACTTAAGAGGAGAGAAAATGAATAGTTTATTCATTAATAATTGTATATAATAATTATATAATAATAAATAAA